ACACAGTCCTAGAGTTATAGCAATCGGCCTTTTTGTTTGGACCAATCCAGTCTGTCTCCCTTTCCCCATCCCCATCTGTTGTTGGAGGTGATTGTGACATCTTATGACCTGACACTGACTTTTGGCAGTTGAGCTCACAGTGAGGGTAAATTGGTAGGCCCGGTGACCACAAGAGAACCGGGGAGCTGCTGCTGTCAGAAGAGGGATGGAAATAGAGACGGGCCAAGTAGCTCTAGTGTTCAAGATTATGGCACTATGTTCATGATTATGCTTTAATTTGGGGTCCTGAGAGACAGGTGAGCCTACAGAGGTTGTGGGGAGAAGACCTGGGAGAGGCGGAGTAGGAAAAAGCCCAGGGAAGCAGCAGCAGCGTGTGGGACTGAGCAGATCGGGGCTACTGGTTATAGGATCCCCAGGCTGGAACCTGGTGTAGTGGGAGGGCCTGCATTTCCCTACCAGCCACTGGGAGGGTGACACAGGCTGAACAAGGGGACACAGGATGACTGGAACCCCTGAGCGTAGGGCGTGCAAGGACCACGGGGCCCAGAATTGGGGCCGGAGACCTGATATAACAACCTTGAACTTCTGTTGGTGGGACTTTGTTACTCCAGAAGGAGTGGACGAAATTCTGACATGGCTGGAAGGCCCAATCGTCGGAAGAGGCAGACCACCAGAGAGGCTGTCAGCATGGGAAACTAGATGAGGAGAGCCACTATGCCACGCCTGGCCCCGCAGAGCCCCTCTAGCGGTGAGTGCACTCCCTTCATAGGGGCCCCAGTCTCAACTGGGCCCACTAGGGGCTACTGTAATATACATGATGAAGGTCAGGGACTGGACTGTGGCCCAGCAGGATGAGAATGGGGAAGGAAAGCAGGAACTGATTCGTTCCCAGAGCGGATGCATCACAGGCAGCAACGGGGTGAACTGCCCGTACACGGCCCTGCCAACATGCATCAGCACTGTCCTGGGGAGACCCTACGGGCAAGAGGAGATGGAGTTCAGTGACCATGGCCCATTCAGGCCCTGGCCTGTCCACTGAGAAAGCTAACAAGGGTGCCCGTGTTGGCAGACCCCTGTCTCCTATGAACTGTGCTCAATTCAAATAGGCCACCAAACAGCCATCAGATGTGTAATGGTCCCCTCCCGCCCCCAAAGGGTGTCTGTAGAGACTGAACCCCACAGCTTTAGATCCAAGACATTGGTCTCTGCCACGTGAGCTAAAGGAGTAACTCCACTGTGTGGTAGCAGTAGAAGGCTTTTATCTCTATGGATCAGGCACTGGAGGAAGACAACACACTTAGCCAGCATGTTACCCATACTAACAACTGCTAATCTTCTTTGACTGGATTTGAAACAGTGACAGTCAAGCTGTCTGGAGTGGCTCCACGCAGCACAAGGGCCAACTCAGGGCAGATTGTTGAGCAGGGCACACAGCACAAATTGGCTATGAGTTCTATACTTAGATTTCACCAATCAAGTGTGAGCTCCTCAGGCATTACAACAGCCTTAACTTAGGGTACGTCTACACTACGAGATTAATTCGAATTTAGATAATTCGAATTTGGGAAACAGATTGTATAAATTCGATTGTGCGCGGCCACACTAAGCACATTAATTCGGTTTTTAACCACATTAATTCAGTGGTGTGCGGCCACACTACCCCTAATTCGAATTAACAAAATCGATTTTGGTGCTACTCCGCTCGTCGGGGTGGAGTACAGAAATCGATTTTAAGTGCCCTTTAATTCGAAGTAACTGGCTCCGTTGTGTGGACGGGTTAAGGATTAATTCGGATTAACGCAGCTAAATCCGAATTAAAGTCGTAGTGTAGACCAGGCCTTAGAGTCACAGACTGTCCCCTTGGGGACTTTTATCTATCTTGCTACCCAGGTAAACCTACCTTTGTAATACATGATCCCTTACACCAAAAATCACAACAATATTCAGGTTACTCCCAGTCCCAAAGGACCGATCATTTACTCCAGTTCAGTTGCACCTTAGATCCTACTCCAAAGTCAACACTTGTAGCCAATCCTATAATAAACTATGTGAAGATCGATTAACTAAGAAAAAGAAATGAGTTCTTTAACCTTGTAAATACGATAAACATACACATACCAATGAGTTCCAGCCTTAGGGTTCAAAAGGGGATGGAAGCTGCTGTAATATGCAAGCTCTATAAGTCCTCTAAGGCTAACCCAGGCCAAGCACTGGGGAATCCCTTGCTTATGCTTAGAAATCTTTGCCCCTCAGAGTCCAAGCATCATAAAGACCCAGTTTCTTCCTGCCAGGGGTTTTTATTCCCTTCCCCCAGAGTTCAAGCTGATGGGACAATTACTCATGCACTTTCATGGGTGTGGAGCGAGCAATCCACAGTCTTTTGTCCTCCGATGTCTCACAATGGTTTGTGTGGTGTCGATGGGCCTTCTTTTGTTGGGCAGGACATAACGCCTCGTGGGGCAAACTGGTATATCACACTTGGTAATGCTCCTCTCCTGACTGGGGGGGGGGAGGGGGTTTCCAGTTTCAGAGCAAACACTTAACTATTACCTTATAACTAAGCTACGTTTTAGTCACAGGTATTTTTAGTAAAAGTCACGGACAGGTCATGGGCAATAAACAAAAATTCACGGCCCCGACCTGTCTGTGACTTTTACTAAAAACGCCAGTGAATAAAACTTGGGGGAGGGTGTCCCGGCTGCTCGGGGGAGGGTGAAGGGGGGGGGGCGCAGGGAGCGGTGAGGAGGGGCGGGGGGTGTGGCATGGGACGGGGTGGGGGGGGCTCCCTGGAAGCAGCGACAGCCCCCTCGCTCAGCTGCTGGGCGGAGGGGCGGCCAGGCAGCTCTGCGTGCAGGCATGGCCCCCACAGCTCCCATTGGCTGCAGTTCCCAGCCAATGGGAGCTGTGAAGCCAGCGCTCTGGGTGGAGACAGCCCGCAGAGCTCCCTGGCCACGCCTCCACCTAGCAGCTGAGCGAGGGGATGTCGCCACTCTCGGGGAGCCCCCCAGCTAAGCACCATCCAGAGCCCGCCTCACCCCGTCTGGTGCCCCCACGCCCTGCCCCCTCCCACAGCCAAACTCTGGTGCTGGGGAGGGGCGGGGGGGCCCCGAGACTGCCCCAGCAGCTGCCGGTGCTCCTGGCGCAGGGGCTGCCTGAGCTGCCCCTGAGTCAGGTGCACCGGCCGCTGCGGAAGTCACGGAGATCACGGAAAGTCACGGAGTCCGTGACCTCGGGGACAAACTCGCAGCCTTACTTATCCCATGGGATACGGACATTATAAGTGAGATTAATGCAGGCAGCAACTTACAAGCACTTCATAGAGTCTAAACACTAAACACGTTTATCACTCTAATGCCTAGTTTAACAACGCTAACACAGGTGAGCCAGACTGGTTACCAGCTATGCATTTGTCAGTGTTCAGGTGAGGCCTAAGGGCCTTGACCTGAGCTGGCACCTGGTCTGCCAGCATCGCAGTGACCGAGAGATACCAGGCTCTGTATCCCATCCCGGGAGCCACCCAGAAGCAAAGAGCTGCCCTTGGAGCTCTGCATGAGGCTGGGGAGCTGGGTAGACCCTCTATGTGACTGCAAGTGGCAGCAAGACGTTGCATCAGACAGAATGTCTGGCTTCCTGCCAGGCAGCTGGTGTTGAATAATCGCTGCCAGAGCTCTGGGTGAGGTCTGGGATAACTCAGGTCACCTGCTCCCTGATAATGACTAGTCACAGCTGAAGAGAAGTGTGATACAACAGAGATCTTTTCTGTTCCCCGCTGGGAGAGAAACACAACTGCAAATGGGCCTTGCACAGGGAAGCCTGGAGTTGAGCTGCAGTTGCAACATGCAACTACAAATGTTCAGACTTCTAGGGAGAAGAGGGAGGGACATTACAGGAGAACAGATAAAGACAGGTGGATCTGTCGATAGGGAGGCGAACCTGGAGCTCTGCACGCTGATCTCACCCCAACTTCAATCCCAATGTATTCTTTGCAACTTCAGCCCTGGGTATCAAACAGGAATAATTCCCCCTTCCTTCCCGACCCCAGGGGCTACCATAATACAAATAATAACAAAATGGCGCTGCTAGAGATGCTGTGGATTCAGGTCATTTATTAAGTATTTGTATTACAGTAGCATGCAGAGGCCCTAGTCTGGGTTCGGTGCCCCACTGTGCTAGGGGCTGTACATACACATAAGAAGAGAGAGCTCCTACCCTAAAGATCTTACACGTACAATCCAAGGTGATGGTAAAGAGTTCCCTGGAAGAAGCGGCTTCCCTGCCTGAGCTGCAGAGTTGCCATTCTAACGCCTGACTTTGCCACTAGCCTGCTCCACAGCTCTGAGCAAGTCACTTAACCAGTCTGCCTCTGAACTTTCCCCTCTTCCCTTAGTGTCAGTAAATTAACTCTGTGAACTTCTTCCCTCCAGACAAAGTAGGGTGCTGGGGTGAGGAAGCCGCATGATATCCCAGAAAGCTGGAGCAAAATCTCCCCTCCCTCGATCGCGGCCTCGGCGCCACTGCCGCCGCCGGTATGAAAAGCCACGCGCTGCCAGCGGAGAGCTGGGCATCGAAAAGAATGTCCGCGTTCTGCAGCCAAGCAGTTCATCCCTAACGATAACGCATGCACAAACACTGTGCGTGCAGAGCATACCAAACAGAGCCCCAGCTGGGATAGATCAGCATGGCTCTACTGCCTTCAGGGGAGCCGGGCCACTTTGCACCAGTGAGGATCTGGCCCTTCATTTTAGACACGTAGCCCAGTAGAAACTGCCGCTTCCCTTATCTGTTCAGTAGTTCCCAGGCTGATATGTGGCTGCTGGCACCCAGAGTATAATTTTCAATTGACAACAACATATTTCTAGCTGAGTTCATTCCGAGTTACTTTTAGCATCGCTGTGCCCCCTACCTTCCCCAGCCCAGGGAACAGTAGCCGTTTAAAGCGGACACCAGTAAAGATCCACGTGATCAGAGAACCGCCAGCTATTAAAGCTCCCATTTCTTACCCATGTATGTCAATGGAGATTTCTGTGCCCAGCACACAGACAGTGCTAGTGTGCTGCTGCAAGGAGAGCCGGATGGTTCTTTGCTGGGACATGTTTGTACCCTTCTCTCAGCTGCTCTGTTTACAGTGGCTGAGCCAGCATGATCAGATTAAAAGGCATGGGCCAAGTGTCCCACCCCTCCTCTCTCTCCACGATGGGCTGTGATTAGCTGGAGATAGATGTAATCCCACCTCCAGGATCTCTGCCTGGTGATTGGAGGGGCAGGTTGTGAAAGCAGAACTCTGCTTGCTGTGATCAGCTGTTTAGAGGTCATCAGCACCAGCAGGAGGTGAAAGAATGGGAGGAAAGCGAGACAGGTTATCTTGGGGAAACACAAATGATCTAAGGTGCTGCTGATCTCCAGGGCGGGGAGCAGATCAGCATCCTCCCCTGGTGCCTGCGTGTCCCTGTACTGTAGGGTTCTTTTACATACCTGCACACCAAGGAAACAGAAACTGCAGATGTAAGAAGAGCCAGCGTCTTAAAATATTTAGCATGACTCTGGAACAAACTTGATCACTCACCACCGTGGAGGGGGCATCTGTATATGTTTGCACATGTCTACGATCTTGCCTATAAAGCTGTAACAACAATAACTCTCAGCAGTCATGTAGTGCTTTACATCTTCTACTAAGCCTCAATACTTCTGGGAGGTAGTTGAGGGAGCGCTGTTATCTCTATTTTACAGATGGAGAAACTGAGGCACAGAGCGGCTTAGGCCTACGTTTTCACTAATTTTGGGTGCCCAGTCTGAGCCACTTGATTTCGAGAGTTCGTGGGCCCATGCTCAAATCCATTAGGGTGCCCACTGTTCCTCATTTCTCGTGCACCTGAGCTTTCAGATTAAGGCCAGCGTGGCTTGGTTTTTCTTGCCTTGTCTTAATTAAATTGCAAATTCTTCAGGATAGGGAACATATCTCACCTGCATTTGTAAAGCACCAAGTACATTCAGTGTGTGTGTGTGTGTGTGTGTGAGTGCGCGCACGCGCACGCTACAATAATGTCTTACCTATGGTGCACTGGTGTTTTGGGGAGCAAAGCATAGGGCTGAATTTGTACCGAACTAAAAGAGAGCCTCAGGTTCCAAGTTCTTTGGTTTATACTTTTTATTGTTGGGAAATGACCTTGTCCAAAGCCACTGCCTCACAATGGGGGTTGATCCCTGGCAAAATAACCCCAGCTGCAATTAATTATGGCTAGCTCACGGGCTGGCCTTAACGATGCTTTCAAGTTTAAAGCAGTAACAGCATGAGAGTTTAGCACACTGCCCAAAACAGGAGACCCTGGCATAGCATTCTATAGCGACGGCATTTAGGATGAAGTTTTCAAAGGCACCAAAGTGTTTTAGGCTCCTGAGTGCCCAAGACAATTTTGAAAATAGGGCCTAAGTCTCATTGTGGGTTAATGGGACCTGGGCTAGTGCAGGGGCGGGCAAACTTTTTGGCCTGAGGGCCGCATCGGGTTTTGGAAATTGTATGGAGGGCCAGTTAGGAGAGGGGGGCGTGCCCCCCCCCCGCTTCTCCCCCCCCGACAGCCCACCCCGGGACTCCTGTCCCATCCAATCCCCCCCATTCCCTGACAGCCCCCTGGGACCCCTGCCCCATCCACACACCCCCCGCTCCCTGTCCCCTGACTGCCCCCGGAACCCCCGCCCCTGACTGCCCCCCACCGCCCCATCCACCCCCCCCTTCCTGACTGCCCCCCTGGAATCCTGCCCCCATTCAACCCCCATTCCCTGCCCTCTGACCGCCCCGACCCCTATCCACACCCCCGTCCCCTGACCATCACCCCAAACTCCCCTGCTCCCTGCCCCCTTACCGCGCTGCCTGGAGCACCAGTGGCTGGAGCTCGCAGCCCCGCCGCCCAGAGCATTGCGCCGGCGGCAAAGCTAGCTTAGGCTGCGGGGGAGGGGGAACAGCAGCGGGGGGGCCGGGGGCTAGCCTCCTGGGCCAGGAGCTCAGGGGCCGGGCAGGAGGGTCCCGCAGGCCGTAGTTTGCCCACCTCTGAGCTAGTGCCTAAATATCTCGGAGGATCTGGGCCCACATGCATAAGTCAGGACTTAAGTGCTTTGAAAACTGCCTATAGTGAGATCTCAGGCTCGGCTCTGGTCCACCACGCTCAAGCTCAGCCAGTTTGTCCAGAGTCCTTCAGTCTTGGCTCAATTCTCTAAGCCCCCCTCACACTGCACCAGGGACCAGGGACATGGAATTGCGCCATGGGCGGCAGGTATCGCAGGCCAGGGGCTAGCTGAGCCTCACCAAACAGCCAGGCATAGCCCTGCCCACGCTCTGCCCCGAGGCCCCCTGTTGCTGCTTGCTCTTCCCCCATAGCCCCAGCCTGGGCTGCTCCTCGTCCCCAAAGGGGGCTGGGGCTGGGGGCAGGGCTATGGCAGGCCGCGGCCCGGGTCTCAGGGTGCTGGGGCCACCTGGCACTGGGGCCCACCCAGCGCTCCGGGGCTGGAGGGGCTGGAGCCACCCACCCAGCATTGAGGGTGCTGGGGCTGCCTGCCAGGTGCACCAGGGCTGGGGGCACTGCTAATCTAAAGTAACTCCACTGGATAGCTAAAGTGGAAAGACTAATTAGGGTGTGGCTCCCGAAAGAGCGTCCTGGAAATGGTAGGCATTTTTCCATTGGAAAACTGGATACCGAAATTCCAGGGGTTCTGAAAGGCCCAGCACAAATCGTCCTGAACGACATCTTCATTGTGAGGATTGTATCCAGGTCAGTTAAATCAGCAGCACCTCGTTCTCCTGGGGAAATGGCATGAAAGCAATTGACTTGGACAACGATCAGGGTTGCAATTCCGCCCCCTGCATGATGTTGCTAAGGGCTAGGGTGACCAGATGTCCCAATTTTATAGGAACAGTCCCAATTTTGGGGTCTTTTTCTTATATAGGCTCCTATTACCCCCCACCCCCTGTCCTGATTTTTCACACTTGCTGTCTGGTCACCCTACTAAGGGCGGACCAGTCTCTGTCGGGGAGCAAGAGTTCTCTCTCCTGAGGCTGCCTGGGAATGGAGATGATTTAATAAAGGCAGAGAAATGGCTTGAAGCACACGGTGCATCCAGTGATTAAGGGCCCATTGAGTGGGAAGGAGACTATAACACCCTGCTGGATCTTGCTGTTAAATGAGCGTTGTCCCCCAGCAGCCAGTCCTGGTAGGTCCATTTTCACTTCCTCCCTTGAGCACCACGTGAACCGGAGTGCAGCTCTCCTGCAGAGAGCCGTGTGTCACGCTGGCTGGGCGCGTCCTGCTCCTCTCTAGTGGCGCAGCAACCTAGAGGATAACTGACCCAGGGAGCCCCACTGGCAGAGGGCCCAGCACCCCATAACTCTCATCGGGCCTGCCACATTCATTGCCCAGTTCGCCGTTGTCATCATCCGAATCTAAAAGGTGTCGTATGATGTGTCGTAGGCGGCCTGGTAACGCGCTGGCCATTCATACTATTGTGTGATGTGTGTCTGGGCGCCACATAGCGAATTAGAGAGGCGGGCTGGAAATCCATTCCGCAGATATGTTTGACAGATGGGGCCTAAGCCCAGCGTGCCCTAGCCCAAGGAATGCTGTTTCACAGGTTCTGTGTCTCCAATGTAAACTAAGCCAAGGGGAACCTGGGACAATGAAAAGCACGTTTGCATGCAAGGTAAACAAAGCCATCAGGGGAGCAAGTGGGGGAAGGTGACCATGGAGCACCCCCCAACGGGGGATGGAGGTGGCACCCCCAGGAACAACTGAGGTTTGTGGTGGAGGAAAACTAGCAACCATCCAACGTTCCCTCTATTTTTTCCATCCATGTGCGGAATGAATTTTGCTATGTGCACCAATATGGAGGTGATGCGTGGTAGGAGTGTGGCTGTGGGAGGGGGCTCAGGGCTGGGGCAGAGTGTTGAGGTGCCCCCTCGGGCTCTGGCTGGGGGTTCAGGCTCTGGGGTGGGCCCAGGAATGAAGGGTTCAGGATGCGGGAAGGGGCTCAGGCCTGGGGCAGAGGATTGGGGGGGGGGGGGGGGCCCCCAGCTGGGGGGGGGGGGTCTGAGGGGGGGCGGGGGGTGAGGGGTTTGGGGTGCAGGCTGCCCCGGGGCTACGGCAGAGAGAGAGGACTCCCCCCAGCCCTCTCTCCCTGTAGTAGCACCTGGGCTGGGGGAGAGCGTCTCTCCCCGCCGCAGCCCCAGAGCTGTGAGGAAGAGGCGTGTCTCTTTGCCACGCCACAGCCCCGGGGCTGGGGGAGTTAAATGTGCGGCCCTTGGTGGCCTCCTGCACAGTCGCGCGCCTTAGAGGGAACTTAGGTGGTGACTATTAAAACGCAAAGCAACAACTAAACTTTGGGAAGATATAAGCGGAGGCAAAAGCCATTTTGTCACCATGACTGAGGGGACGCGACGGGTGCGACACCCTTCGAGCCGGTTAGAGTTGGTACCCCTAGTCTGGAGGACCAGGGATGCTGAGAACTTGAGGTAGGTGAGGAAACTGCGTAGGCCAAGACTGTAACTTGCTACGTTTTACTTGCCGGGAAGTGTGTTTCGTTTGTAACCTTCCCTATCTCTTTCACTCGCGCTCATCATCGCTTACGCCTGTGTTCTTTGTTAATAAACTTACTTCTGTTTTATTACAAAACCAGCTCAGAGCTGTGTCTTAGTGTGAGTCCTCAGCCAAACTAACAGGCTGGGGTGGGCTCTGTCTCTTTGAAGACAGCGAACTTGAGAACTGTTGTGCGGGTCCAGGCAGAGGACTGGACTCTGTAGGGGAGATGGTTTTGGGGAGACTCGGGACTGGAAGGTTTGTTGGAGTCACTCTGCTAGGAGGACCCAGGCTGGGAGAAGCCCTGGTGAGGTTGCAGTGTGGCTGGGGTCAGGGCTTTGACCCAAAGTAGCACAGCAAAGAGGCACCCAGGGTTTCAGAGAGGCTGGTGACACAACCCCTTACTGGTGTGGGTGAACACCCAAAGTGTCACACTACTGCTATCAGCTGATGGAGCTCATACTGTGGTTCAAGTGGGCGAGACTTCTGCTTTGCAATTGAAGGTCTTGAGTTTGAATCCTGCTGATCATCCACA